ATGAATAACCAGGTAGGATGACCAGTTAAGAAGAAGGGAAAGAAAGGAAATCAGCAAGAGGAAAGCACTGCAATGATGAGCAAGTCAATACTTTTTAGTAATAACTCTCAGTGTGAGTGGTCTCAATTCCCCAGTCCATAGATTAAAACAAAACAAAACAAAACAAAACTTCAGTGGTATGTTGCAAACAAGAAACACATTTAACCCAAAAAGAAATTCACAGACTAAAGATCAAAGGACAGAAAACACTAGTCCATGCAATAGAAACTGAAAAAGTGAGAGTAATTATCCTACTTCAGACACAGCAGACTCAGAATAGGCGAATAAAGTCACTGGATAAGGGAACAATTCAATGATTATAACAATTATACACACATATGTATTGAACAATGATACACTCAACTTTATAAAACAAACACTGCTAGACATAAATCAGAAAAAAATCAATACAATTACAGTGGAGACCTTAATATCAGAGTTGAGCCAAACCTTCAATCAAATGGACTTAATAGATAACTACAGTGTATGACCCAGCAACAACAGAATACATAAACTTTTCAAAAGCACATGGGACTATCTCCAAAATAGACCACATACTAGCCAAGAAAGCATGCTTATGTAAAAATCAAATGAATCAAAATTGTACCATGCATATTATCAGGTTATAGCACAATGAAATTAGAAAACAATGGCAAAAGAAACCACATAAATTATGCAAATGCATGGACATTAAACAATACACTCTCAAATAATCAATGAGTCATGGCAAAAATCAAGAAAGAAATGAGATATCTTTGAACTAAATGATAATGCCAGTACCACATATCAGAACTTATGAGACACAATGAAAGGAGTCCTAAGAGGGAAGTGTATAGCTGTGAATGCCCATATCACAAAAATAGAGCAAGTGCAAATAAATAACCTAATTATGTACCTGAAGGTCTAGAAAAACAAGAGCAATCCAAATCCAAAGCTAGGACAAGGATGAAAATTATAATGATCAGAGCAGAAATCAGGAAATGGAGACTAAAGACACTGACAATTAATGAATTGAAGAGCTGGTTCTTTGAAAGAATAAACAAAACAGACAAACCCTTAGTCAACCTTATAAAAAAAAAAAAAGGAAGATACAAATCAATACAATTACAAATGAAAAGGGTGAAAGCACAACAGACACCACTGAAATCCAGAAAATTATTAGCAACATTTACACAAAATTGTATACCAATACATTGGAGAACTTAGAAGAAATGGATAGATTCCTAGATACATGTGAATTACCAAAGCTGAACCAAGAAGATTTAAAAATATTGACTAATCCAATAACATGTAATGAAATTGAAGCAGTAATAAAAGAAATTACCAAGAAAACCTCAAGTCCTGATGGATTCACTGCCAGATTCTACAAGAACTTCAGAAATATAATGACAATACTTCTCAAACTCTGTAATAAAATTGAAAGAGAAGGAGCTCTCACAAAGCCATTCCTGGAAGCTAACATTACCCTGAATACAAAATAATCTCTTTAATGAACACAGATTTTTAAATCTTCAACAAGATACTGGTAAACAGAATGCAATAAATAATCAAAAAGGTCATACATTATGACCAAGTAGGCTTCATCCTATGAATGCACAGATGGTTCAACATATACAACTCAAAAAATGTATCACAAGTAGAAAGCAAGGACAAAAATCATATGATCATCTCAACAGATGTATAAAAAGTTTGATGAAATCCAACATCCTTTCATGATAAAAACATTAAAGAAAACAGGCATAGAAGGACCTTATCTCAATCTGATAAAAATTGTTATGACAAACCTATTACCAACATCATATTAAATGGGGTAAAACTGAAAGCTTTCCTCTAAATTCAGAAATCAGACAAGAATATCCACTATCACCACTTCTGTTCAACATAATCCCTGAAACTTTAGCCAGAGCAATCATGACGAAAAAGAAATAAAAGGAATTTGAATACGAAAAGAAGTTAAATTAACATTGTTTGCAGATGACATGATCCTGTACATAGAAAACACAAAAAATTCTACTAATAGATTCAAGAATTAATAACTACATTTGGCAATGTAGCAGGATGCAAAACAAAAACATACAAATCAATAGCATTCCTGTATACTGATAAAGAACTCACTTAGAAGAAATTATGAAAACACTACCATTAATATAACATTAAGAAATATTAAATACTTAGGATTTTACCTAACCAAAGGGAAAAGACCTCTACAACAAAAAATACATATCATCTGTTCCCTGATGGACAGAAGCAATAGTGTCAAAATGGCCATACTTCCAAAACTCATATACAGATATAACACAATCCCAATTAAAATACCAACAGTATTCCTCACAGAACTAGACAAAATAATCCTAAAATTCATATGAAACCAGAAGAGACCCAGAGCAGCAAAAGCACTCCTGGTTAACAAGTAGCATCACTATCCAGGATTTGAAATCATATTCAAAGCTACAGTGATAAAAACAGCATGGTACTGGCATAAAAACAGACATGTATATCAGTGGAACAGAACAGAGGATACAGAAACAACCCCAGGCACATTCAGTTATTTGATCTTTGGCAAAGCAGACAAAAACTACCCTGGAGGAAAGAGCTCTTTAACAAATGGTGCTGGGGAAAATGGCTATCAAGATGCAAAAAACTGAATGTAGATTCATATATCTCAACATGTACTACACTAAAATCAAAATAGATCAAATATCTAAAATAGAAACATTCTGCTGGAAGATAAAATGGTAAAACACTTGAAGTCAGAGACACAGGCAAGCTCTTTCTAAACAGAACCTCAATGACACAAGAAATAGTACCAAGAATCAGCAAATGGGATCACTGCAAATTAAAAAGCTTTTTCACAGCAAAAGAAACAACCAAGAGAGTGAAAAGACAACCTACAGAATGTGAAAATAATTTTTGTTACCTCTTCCTCAGAGGACTAGTATTTAGTATATACAATAACTCAAAAAAATCAGATCCCCCCAAAATAAATGACCCAATCAAATAATAGGCAACAGAAATGAGTAGACATTTCTCAGATAAAGAAGTACAAATGGCCAATAAACATATGAAAAAATATTCAACATTACTGGCTATTAGAGAAATGTAGATTAAAACAACACAGAGATCCCATCTTACTCCAGAAACAATGGCTGTCATCAAGAAATCAAATAATAATAAATACTGGTAAGGTTGCAGGGAAAAAGCAACCCTTCTGCATTGTTGGTAGGAATGTAAAATAGTACAAACACTATGAAAAGCAACATGGAGATTCCTCAAAAAAATAAGAATACATTCCTTTTGACTAGCTATTTCCCTGCCCGTATCTTCCACAAAGAGTTAAACATATCCTATTGCAGTGATACATGGATGTCTATGTTCATAGCAGCACAATTCATAATACCTAATCTTGGAAGCAGCCTATATGCCCATCAACAGATGAATGCATAAAACAATGTGGTATTTAAACACCATGGAGTACTAGTTTGCCATAAGGAAAGATAAACTTGAGTTCTACGTAGGAAAATAGATGCACCTTGAGACCATAATTTTGTTTTGTCAGTTTTACGTTTTGTGTTTTGTTTTTTGAGACAGGGTTTTATTATATAGTGTGGGTTACCCTTGAACTCACTATGTGGTCCAAGCTGGCCCTGCCTCAGCCTCCCAAGTGCCAGGATTACAAGTGTGCCCAGCTAGAGGCCACAATTTTAAATGAAATAAATCAGACATGCAAACTTAAATATCACATGGTTTCTCTTATATGAGAAACTCAAAATATAAATAAAGAGAAAAATACAAAGTAATAGGAAAGAGGTAAATTTTTTGAAATAGAAAGAAGCTCAAGAAATGGATCAAGGGAGAGAGGGAGGGGAGGAAAGTAGATTTTAAAATTGAGATGTGTTATATATTTGTACCAACTCACCACAATAAACATAATCATTATGTACTTACTACAAATATATACCAATAAAAAATTTTAAAAACACTCCAGCAGGTGTTCATACTATTTAGAATGAAATACTACAAAATTCTCTCCGTGAAAAAAGAATAAAGAGAAATCTTTGATATAAAAAAGAAAAAGCAGTGACTAGAGAAAAGATTAAATATATTCGTGTCATCTTACTTCCATCTCAAACTTTATAGTCTACCTAATTAAAGAAAATGTCTCAGACTCTATTAAGGTTATAAATACATTTAAAATATCCGTAGTAATAAGGCTATCTTTATACTTCTATATAACATGTATGTCTTGTCAAAAACTTAAGATTCTCAGCCTTTGAATAATTAAATATCAGTGACATGGCTTGGATAACCAGTAAATAACCTATTTGCAAAGACATTTAAATTTTTCATTATCTTTTCAGTCCTTATCACATGTAAAAGAGATTTGCAAATATTTCTCCAGTGAAGTCTAGATAAATCTTTAGAAACAGGTTCAATATAAAGAGTAACTGCTAATATTTAAATTCTGTACCATAAAAATGACACTTACTACCATATTAAATTATTCTGCATTTCATGTAAGCTATTATGTTTATTGCTCTCTTAACTTTACTATTAAATAAGTAGCAGAATACATAATTTTCCCATCACTGCATTTACCAAAAATTCAATTTTCCTGATATTTACTCCATAAGCATTTATTTACCACTGCCATGAATCAGGGCTGTACGTGCTGAAATACGGTCAATCCAACAACCATGTACTACCTAAATCTACTTAACTGCTACAGCTTTCCTAGAATAGATTTGTATCACCATCTTTTTCAAAGTGTCTTTTATGTTTTTGTAAATATACTAATTTTAATAACTATGAAAATTCAATTTATGTTTATGAGCTTTTGTGGGAAAGTTATAAATTATTCCTTAAGACATAAATATGCTTGCCTGTTATCAAATTTATTTTTCTGTACAGCAACATTAGTGTATCCAAGAAAGCATAAGTTACTTTAACTTTCTAAGATTTACCTGAAATGGGAATATTCTGTGAAACTGACAATTGCACATCTCCAGTTCCTGGTGGCATGTCAACAACTAAATAGTCCAGTTGCCCCCAATCTACCTAAAAACCAAGATAACATAAAAACATTATTGCATAACAATTCCAGTGAATAGTGATGTGAACAAAATTACAGTGTTAATACCAAATCTAAAATAACTATCATGAGTCATTCCCAGGTGCCTGGCACTAAGGTGCTGAGGACTAAGGCTACAGGAATGAGCGTCAAGTTACTGTCACTAGTAGACCTTTGAATGATAAATTTAAATTGAGATAAAAAATCCTGCTGCTCCCTGAAAGGTACTTTTATACCACGGCTGCCCCAGACACTTTGTAGGCAGGCTGGCTGCATCAGGTCTCCACTGGTAGCCCTGGTATTTCCTTTTGCTATGGCAGGTTTCAGTTGCTGACCTATACCAGATGACGCTGACCTGCAGCCTCCCTGAATAATTTGGACCCTCTGCAGCTCTCCTCACTCACATTTGTGAGGGGATCCTCCCCTACCTAGACCAAAATGAAACTATAACAGCACACATGCACATGCCTACCTGTTCTCTTTTTAAAGAAACGTCCCCATTCTCAGAGTGGGTTCAGCCTATGTGCTGTTCCCCATTACGCTCCAGCATAATTCTTAAGAAAGTCTTTTCCAGATGGCATATTCATTGCCTATGTGTGATTTCTATGTCATGCAGAGCATGCTGAACTGGCACACAAAAGGCTACTGGCACACAAAAGCCACCAGAATCCACAGCTGCTAACACTCAAGGTGGCCAGCACCAGAGAACTACGGAAGAGAATTAAGAACAGCTGGCAGCCACCACCTCCAAAGGTCAAAAGAGTTCCTGAGGCCTGCACGTGGTTGCTTCCTCCATGTGGCAAGGGGTACTGTCACTACGAAAGTGCCAATAGCCACTGGCATTAGAAGTCCAGGTTTGTTAAAGTTAAAAGAGTGAAAATTTGCCAATTAGTAATCTATGAGAATTGAACAACACTCATCTAATTGGAAAACCTTGGAAGCCAGTATGGGGACCTTCCTGTGACAGTGCCCTGAAAAAGAGGCAGATAATGGAACTCATACTAGCCAGTGACAAAATTTCTAGGTGACTGATCCCTATACACACACAATAATGATGAACCCATTTCATAGTGATCTTCTGGGCAGGACAAATTATTTATAGGATATAGTGTAGCCTAGGAAAATAGTACAGCCCACACTTTTTCTAAGAAGGTCCTATCCTTTTGTTCCATACAGTTTTCTGTTTAGAGATATATATATGTGTGGGTGTACAATCATTTTTCCTTCATTAAAATAAAATACTAACAATGCAAACTAAATAATAAATAATAAATGGAAACAAAGCTTTGTAAATAAGGAGGGGAGGAGGGGTTGAAAGGAGGGGGAAAAAGACAATGATATATCATGCACAGGTGCAAATTCCCTATGATAAATGTGATCATTGTATATACTTAAATTGTACCAATAAACTTAATTAAATTTAAAATATGCTCAGCACAGGGCCTTGTATATAATAAAAAATAAAAAATGATAGGTAAACAAGGTGATAAATATGCTAAATTTAGATATGCTAAATATCTTATGCTACATTATATACATATATCAAAACATCACACTGCACCTCACAAATGTAAAAATTGTGTTTCTTCAATCAGATATAATATTAATTTTTTAAAAAACAGCCTGGCTAATCCACAAGTTGGCTTTAATGAAGGAATTTTGCATCCTAGTTACTATTTGATAAATATTTGTTGATCACCTGTGATATGCCATGGAAGACCCACTTTGTGTTCCAACAGTGTTGGCTAGAAAGAAAAATAATCTAGGCCAATGATGATGAACATTTTAGAGCTTTCAACGACAGCTGACGGCTGCAGCATGCATGTTATAGGTTCACCACCACTGACGAAGTTTTCTGAAAGTCATGTTGTCAGCATTTAAAAAACTTTATCCATGCGTGGTTTTATGAGTTGAATTATGTCCTCTCCAAACTGGTATATTAAAGTCCTAGCCCCCGATACCTCAGAATGTGACTGTGTTCGAAAGGATTATTAAATTAAAATGACCTCATTAGGGTGATCCTAATCCAATATGACTGGTGTTCTTAAAATAAAAGGAAACTGGAACATCATCATATACAGAGAGGTCAGTGTGAAGACGGGAGAGGACAGGTGACAAGAGAAGAAAAGAGAGGAGAGGGGAGAGGAAGAGATGGGATAGAGGGGAAGATAGAGAAGAGAGGAGAGAAGAGGAGAGGAGAGCGGAGGGGAGGAGAGGAGAGGGGAGGGGAGGGGAGGGAGGGGTGAGAGGAGAGAGGAGGTATTAGTCATCTGTAAGAAAATGGATGCAGCTTGAGACCACAATGCTGAGTGAAACAAATCAGACACACAAGCTTGAATATTGCATGGTTTCTTTTATATGAGAAACCCAAAGTATAAAGAAAGAGCAAAATAAAACATAACAGGAAGATAGATCTTTTGCAAAATGGAAGGGGACCAAGAGATGGGGAAGAGGAGAGGGTAGGGAAGAGAAAGGGTTGGAAAAAGTATTAAGATTAATTATGTACATGTACCAACTCCCCATGATGAATATAATTACTATGTACTGTAAACATGTACTAACAAAAAATGTATCCTTAAAAAATAAATAAAATTAAATAATAACAAAATATCTCAGTATTATTAACATTCTAGTTCTTTCTTTCCAGGCATTTTTTTTCAAACAAAATTCAGCTATATAGTCAAGTCTGTAATGCTCAGACTTGATTTAGATAGGTCTCAACAGTATCATTCTTTTCTCCTTAGAAAGTTTTCCCCTCCAACTTTTGGTCTCTGAGAAAGGCTTTAGAATCCTCTCAGTTGCCCAAAGCAGAAATTATACTTAAATACACTTCTTTTTCCTCCTCACTACCCCAGCTACTCTGCTAAAAATCTTTCAAATGCATCCCTGTCTCACCTCTACTGCCAAGGAGCCATCACCATCTATCATTTTAACAAGCCTCCCAGCCACTTTCTCTGCTCCACCACTGCCCATGTCTCTAATAACAACGACAAACAGTCCAACTGTGCTTTCTTTGTTTGAAACTCTAGCTTTTAGGATAAAGTCTGAGCTCAGCTCCAGAACATGCTGCCTGGTCTTCTTCACTCATCTCTCCTCATTCTTGAGATCCTAGCTTAAAATTCCCTTGCTCAGGGAAACATCTCTCAACATCTACTAGATTACATAGACTGTTCTATTACATAATTCACCTAATCACTCACTCACCTAAGACATTCTAAGTACCTTCGGCATTTTTGGACACTGAGTTAGGTATCAAAAATTAAGTGGTCTACGATCCCTGCTTGTAGAACTTACAAAATATAGAGAGACACATATTAAGCAGATAATCACCTAAATAAACATAACATTGCCAGTTTCATGCAGATAAGAAACACTGTGAAGACAGTAAAATGTGCAAAGGAAAGAACTTATTAACCTTGGGAACTGAAAGATCAATATGTCTGGAAGACAATGAGTGAAAAAAGTGTCATTTTACTCTTATTTCATGATTCGTCTTCCTATAAAACTGAGTGAGAACCCCTTAGCAAGAAACGAGCACACAGAAGATACTTGAGAAGTTTTCTTTCAAGGAATGAATGAATAAATGAACACAGGCAAAGGTCTGGGGTTTTTAAAATCTCAGTGGAAATTGCGTGTACAATACCATATTCTGTTTTGTAAAAGAATGTATATGATGTATTTTTTCCTATACTCATTTTTAACAATAAAAATCTTTAATGAGATTAGGTCAAATAGATTCATTCATATGCTAAATGAAGCGAGAAGACAATGGATGACAGGTATCTAAAGGAAAGTATTCCAGCTAGAAGACCTACGAAGTGAAAGTAACCCTAGACAGGGATATGGCACATCCAAGGAATGGCTAAGAAATCCACACACCCTTTGTTTTTGTTTGTTTTTTTTTTTTTTTCCTTTTTTGGTTTTTTTTTTCCAGTACCGGGAATCAAACTCACGACCTTGCGCTTGCCAGGCAGGTGCTGTGCCACTGAGGTAAATCCCCAGCCCAACACACCCTTTCTAAAATAGCACCTATAGCCATCAGTCTCTCTCCTTCCCTGGCACTATTTTTCTCCAAAACATATGTCAGTATGTGACACCATATATCGGTTCATCTTTTGGAACCCTACAGTATTTCACAAATACATGTACTTAATACTGATATAATACCATATATTATGAGAATGGTGAAATGATGACATTAATTAGTTTTCAATATACGATTCTTTGATGTGAAAAGCTGTTACCTAAGGTTACCCAGTGGCCACCATCTATGAAACTATCTCCACAAAAAGATAAAGACACTTTTCATCTTCTAGCCTCAGTACTGAAACCGCCAGCACTGGCAGGCTGACAAGTTTCTTTGTTTTAGAGAACACCGAGTGACGGATGCCAACAATTTGTCATTGTTTTCCCTGGCATTTCATCATATTTATCATGTTACCTCCAATTTCTCACTTCAGAGAACTAAAGTTCCAAGGAACCAAAGATAGTTCACTGTTAAGGCAATTTATTTTGAATGGCTCTTAAATTGAGTTTAAACTATCTGAAAAAAGAACCTGGCCCAGCAACTTCATCCTATCTAGCAGGCTTTCCATAAAGTCTTGCTGATTGGAACTGGGCTGAACTAAGTCAGTGTCTGAGTTGCAATTTTATGGCATTCAATGACACTAACACTGAACTCTTCTGGCTGCCAAGAAGTTCTAGTTCTCTTGTAAAGAGATACCAAAAGTGTGCATTTTAGAATAATTTAGGGATTTTCAGGATTCTATTCAGTGTTTGTTTACTTGTATAAATTATGTTTCATTAAATGTATACACATATACTCAAGAATCTCATCTAGTAAAACCCAGAGGTGAATCCAGATTTTGTGTGGCCAGAAGCACATACAATTTGAGTAGTTCTCTCTAAGAATAAAAATACAAAATTATGAATGCAAAATTAGGTACAAAGATTAATACTGATATTCCTCAACTTATGATAGGGCCAT